GTGAAGAAGTCTTTGTTTTCTGGAGAATCCTTCTTTGTTTTTCCAGAATAGTTCATCCTTGGGTTTGCAACATTGCTGAGCTTTCCCAGATAGCTTGTCCTTTGGCTGCAACATTATGCTGCAAAAATAACTTCTAATGCTGAGAAGCTAAACTCCTGAGGCCTACTTCTTAGTTATATGCTCAAAGCTCCCACAGACCTTGGCTCGACTCTTGCTCGCACAATGCTCTCTGGGAGCTGTGCCCCTGTTCCCTTAGCCATTCTTCAACAGAAATCAGACAAGCTTTGAAGTTCCACTCCAATTTGCACAGCAGAATGCTGCAAAGCAGCACCACAAGGACCAGAAACAGCTTCACTTCCACAGATTTCAGAAGCCTTAAAATGCTCCCAGATAGTGGGATGCCAGTGCTGCACAGCCTGACTAGAGCACTGGATTTGGCAGCATGGTAAGTCATGTCATACAGTAAAGACATTTTATCCACATCAACTGCAGGCAAAAGGACTTGGACTTTGGGATCTCCAACTAGCAGCTGTGCGGGTGCCCCTGCCACGAGCCAGCTGCTGGCTGCTCTCACAGCAACCTAGAGTTCTTTCCACGCTCCAATCCATGTCTTTCTCAAACCCAGCAACAACTGCTTTCACCTTAGTAACAGGAAGTCTGCAAGTCCCACAGATATTTCCAGATGCTGTGGCAACATCTGCTGGTGGATACACAAGCCATATGAGACTGGAAGACTGCTTTGTAGGCTCTAAATAAAGAATTGTCCAATTTGATTAATACCTAGATATGTAAGATTTGAACAAGAACACTGGCTAAATTGAGATAAAGCAGAAATTCAAGCAAGTTTCTCGGTACCACATTTTGGAGCACAGTGTATTCAGTTTGACATGATGCTGCAGCTGCCTCTATTTTGACTAAAATTATCACATTTACATTAGAGTGACAGTTTAAACTAACACAGGACTGCAGCCCTAGAGAAGGTTTCAAGCTGTATGATCGAATGATATGAGACATTGCCTATATAACATTTAAATCATAAATGAGCACCAAAAAAAAAAGGTATTACAATCTCACCCTTCTGGGGCATTTCCTCTGGAGTGAGCATTAATTCTCATGAGTGTCTCAATGGTGTGAAACAGATCTGCTTCTGTAACGTGGGCGACACTTCTCTCATCCACCAACAGGATTTTTACCAGCTGCATGGCAAATGCCACAGCCATATAGTTCAAGCCATTCTCCATGGACTGTCAACATGAAAAAGGCAATTAAAGTTCAACCACAAATCTTACGGTGGACTGATTGTATCGTTTCTCCTCCAAAAGAGCAGGTTGCCTTTACCTGAGCCAAGTGAAGGTCATACTGCTGCATGTTAACGAGGTGATTGCGGATGAGCAGCTCCACAGCTTCCACATTGTACTTGTACTCATCTCTGCATTCAATCAGGCACCTGAAGAATTGGACTTGTTTTAAAAAAATGTACTTCAACAACACAGTTTAAGTGAAGCAATTCAAATCTAATACTTCAGAAACCAAGCCATTCACTGCGTTTCATTATTCTGCTCCAAAAGAAGACTCTTCCAGAGCATTCCCTAAGGTAATGTTTGAGCTCAGAACAGTCAGACTCGAGCACCTGTTGCCCAGGACAACTGGTCACAACAGCCCTTCAAGAGTTTCAGCTTATTCAGTGAAAGAAGCCTCTCTTTCCAAGGACAAAGTGGCCCATCTGCCTAGCTGAAGCACTAGTGCTTCTGCCACAGGCATATGCCATGCCACAGTTTGTGACAGCATACAGACATTCTCTGCAATATGAGGAGGGGGGGAAACCCCAGAGCATCTCCAGTGCTTAATTCCACTGAAGATTCCCCTCATGTTCTGGGATGAAGCAGCACTATCAGGAGATCTAGTTTTTTTAGTCAAAAAAAGCTAGTTATTTCTTGCCCATCCAAACTGCAGCAGTGTAAAATAGAAACAGGCAAGTGATTCAGAGTAACACAGGAACTCCCAAAAGATGATGAAAGCTACATCAATGTTCCTGATGTCTCATAACTGACCTGGTAATTTGTTTGTTACACCAGGGAGAGCCATAGGCACGGCCATCCTGCAGAGCCTTCAGCACAAGCAGATGGCACTCGCGATAGCGGAGCAGAAGGTCAGCGTCAGCCCCACTGGTGGCATCCAGCAAACCCTCTACAGCCTAGAATAGATGCAACCTGTTAGCAGAGGAAAAAACAAGTCCTCTTCCAAATCTTCTGCACATTACATCAGCAAGGGTTATCACCAGAAGACTCAGCAGGCATGAAATAATCAATTTAGTCATTGTGTCGACTCCTTGATAAAGACCACGTGAGATTTTACCAGCTACTATGGCATCTATATGTTTACTGTACACAGTTACAGTCCCACAAACAAGCCTACAGTTTCTCTATGCCCCACTAGCTTTGTATGTGCATCAAACAGTATGACAGACTGCACTAGTCTGTGCTGCAGCTTCTGTAAGTCAATGCCTCCATAAGCAATTCTGCAAATGGCTCATGAAAAACTACATGAGAAAAGTTTTACAGAACCTGCCAGAGGTAAGTGAGCAAGTTCCTTAGACAAAGAGCTGCAGCTCTCAGAGATGCATCTGTGTTAGTCTATAGCAAATGGAAGCCTTACAACACAATTTCTTTGGTCAAGTCCTAGTCAGGACTGGATCCTTTAATAGGTACAAGCACTATCAGACAAGAACAAAGAGCCTTCCTCTAGCATTGAGTGGCTTCTGGTTTGGCACTGTTCTTGGTTCCTCATACAGAGAGCTCAGTATCCTTCCACCAGTCTCAAATGGATTTTTCTGTGTCTGTCACTTGCTCTGCACTACTACACAGGCACTGGTGCCAGCTCAGCTCGCAGAGCTCACTGCAACACTCTCCACCTGGTACAGCCTACAAATTCCGTCTGGGATGGAGTTAATTTCTTTCATAGCAGCCCATATGGTGCTGTGCTTTGCATCTGTGCTCAAACAGTGTTGACAACACACCAGAGTTTTGCCAATTGCTGAACAGGACTTGCACAGCATCAAGGCTTTCTCTTCCCCACTTTGCCTCCCCCATCAGTGCACAGGCTGAGGATGTGGAAGAGGCTGGGGAGCAGCACAGGCAGGACAGCTGCCCCGAAGTGAATAAAGGGATATTCTATATCATATGACATTGTGCACAGCAATAAGAGCTCAGGGAAAGGAGGATGAAGAGAGGCATTCATGGTTCTGATGTTTGTCTTCCCAAGCACATGTCAGATGTGCTAAAGCTCTGCCTTCTGAGCAGTGGCTGACATCTGCCTACTGATGGGAAGTAGTGATTTTTATTTTTGTTGTGTTTGCACACGGCTTTTGTTTTCCCTTCTAAACTGTCACAATCTAAATGAACATGTCATCTTGTCTTCCATGTTTTCTCCCTGTCCTGTAGAAGAGCAGAATGAGCAAGCAGCTGGATGGATGCTTGGCTGCTGGCCAGGATCAACCCACCCTGCAAACTCATTTATCAGTTACTGCAAAATAAACCCATCAAGTGTTCCACTACAAACCCAGTACTATGCTCAATAGTATCTATCTGTAAGCGCAGTTCAAAAATCTTTTTAGCCTCCAAATCATCCTGAAATCACAGTCTAGACTACAACAGGTTTCTACTTGCCATATCTGAACAAAACTCCAAGTCCCAGGATTCTGTACCTGCTCCTTTCCACAGCAGCCTGGACGGACACTGTGTGCACAACACATGGCTCCCTTCCAATTTTACTTACTGAATTTCCAAAGACAGCAGTTCAGTACTGTCCACCAAACAAGTTCCACAGGATGCATGAAGAAACAATCACCAGCAAGACAATCCATAAGCCAGATGAGTAACAAACTCTGGGCAAGTTGTTACAGAAGCTGTTATAGAAGAGTTGTTAACACTCACCTTCTGCAGAAGGCCAAGTGCAGCAATAGCATCGCGGGAGTTCCGAGCCACCACCACAGCCTCCAAGAGACTACGCAAGGCTTGGACTTGAGGATTCATGGCCAGGGTGTGTGGAATGGACTGCAGGTGCTGCTCCAGTTCTGTCATACACTTATCATAGATCTGTGCTACATCATCTGTAGCCCAAGCTTGCTGCTTAAGAGAAAGTGGAATGAGTGATTTTTGCAAGGATTGTATGTGTGTCACTCAAATACTGATTGACTCTTTTGCTTCAGAAATTATAGCATTCAGAATTTAGATCTCTGCAGTACTTTGCTTGGTTATGCTGGCATTTAAAACACAAATATGAGCAAATTAGGCTGTGGAAATAACTAGCAAACTATTCTGGCAGTCAGAATCACAGAATGGTTCAAGTTGGAAGAAATCTTAAAGCTCATCTAGTTCCAATCCCCTGCCATGGGCAGGGACACCTTCCACTAGACCTGGTTCCTCTAAGCCCTGTCCAACATGGCCTTGGACATTTCCAGGGATGGGGCAGCCACAGCCCCTCTGGGCAACCTGTGCCACTGCCTTACCACATTCTGAGGCAAAAATTTCTTCCTACTATCTGATCTGAACCTGCTCTGTTAAAGTCATTCCCCCTTGTCCTATCACTAAGGCTGTAAGTCCTGAAGATCAAGTAGCATACTAAACCCTACTAATTATCTCAAAATTCATGCTTGTCATCCATGACCTTCCCGCAAAAGGAACCTGAGATATGAATATTTCACTGATACTAAAATCACATGTAGTAATCATAACTTGCAGATCTTGTCCCAATTTGGGTTACAAACCCCTAAGACTGTTTTATGTTGCTATTATTTTGCCATTAAAACTAATGCATCTTTTCAACCACTATTCCCAAGCAATACAAATACCTGACTCTTACAAGTGCTTCTAGCAAATGACACAAGTTCTGTGACAGTTTCCACAAGGGCTACAGTACTCTCAAGTCAGTTAATTCAGAAACCTCTACCTTCATAGGCTGAGCCAAGAATCCTGTAGGCTGAGTTAAGTCGTTGGTGGGCAAGAAGCCAGGGACATTGCGTGCAAACTCTTCATAAACAGCCAGCTGTTTTGGGTCGACACCTCCAACCTTTGCAAAGAAAAGAACAGGCATTAACCTCACTGTTGAGCACTGGGACAGTACAAAATGAGGGCAGTTTGTCTAACAGGTAGCTGCTCAGACACATTTTTAAACAGAGTGGCCTAGACAACAAGAAGTAGGATTCAGCTGCTTTGAACTGAGATCCTCTAGCTCCTGCCACACCTCCTAACAGGAGAGTTTTGCTCTAAAATTGCAACACACATTCCCAGAAACAGGAATAACTGAATATTGGCTTCATGAGTGTCTGATGCACAAGAGAAATGCTCTGCTGAAAGCACACGGTATGTCCTTTAAGGGAAGAAAATGTAAAGGGGACAATGAAACAGACAAGTCATCTTTCAGTGAGAGAAACAGCACAGAACGAGAAACAGGACTTCAAATGTCAAGGAACTGAGGAAAATGATATGAATTTGTAACAACATACTTGTGTTTCCATACTAATCAAGCTAACAGCAGCTGCACTGCTAGGCAAGACTAACTATATACAGGATTGCTCAGTTGAAGCTGCACCATACACTTTTCACTATCAGGAGGGGGAGAAAAGCAGCATCAGAACAGAACTCATCTCATGGCCTCACCTTTAACCTGATCTGTTCTGGCATCCGCTCAGCCTGGTAAGTTAATACAACAGGATCACAGTATCGCCGACCCTCTTGTCTAGCATGTTTTCTGAGCTCAAATTCCTGTGAAAAACCCAAACACACTGAATTTTAGACAACGAGTCTGGATGCACATAGGCACATATAATACTTCTAGATGGCAGTAGTCCCATACTTACAGTTGCAAGCCTCTTGTCCATCTCAGGGCCTGCCTTTTCCACAGCTGTCTTCTGGATAAAGCAGCAAGCCAGCTCACAGTTATCCTGTGCTAACTGGGCAGCTGCCTGCTCCATCATGTCCCTCTGCTGTGGGGAGGCTGCCTATTGAAAATCACAATCATCAGTGAAGGTTGTAAGTTTTCCCTGTATATTACTAGCCTTAAAATCTGCACCACTGCCTATACAAAACAACAGCAATAAAAGAGAATGCTCTTAGGATTGCACTCCCTTCTCATGGAATATACAATAATAAACTGAATTTTGCATAGCTTTGAATAAAACATGTAGGAAAGATGACAGTAAAGACTTTCAACATGGAACAAAACAGCAGGAGTTCTCCATCTTCTCCACCTACCTATCTCCAGGGCACAGAAATAAAGCCCTGCTTTAGACTGACACACATACAACAGCAGATCCTAATGCAGGGAAGGCCTCACATCAGGGCACAGAAATTTTTCCACTTCCTAGGTTGTAACCAAAGGATATGAAGGCACAGCACTAAATGCAAAACAAGTAGCCCTAAGCCTTTTTAAGTGGGTTCCCTTTCTGACAGATTCTCTTCTTTCCTCCTCAGAGACTGCTTTGAGAGAACCCTGAATGGATGGACTTATTTTTCAGGGTACAAAGCAACAATTCCCACTAGAAATGGAATACATATATAAAGGCAACCTGTCCCATCTACTGGGACCTCCTTGTCTGTTAAGGCCTACCTATCTCTCATAAGGGCCTTAGCACTGTTACTCCCCACCAGATGCGAAATAGTGAAATGCCCTTAAGCAAGGGGCAGGTAGCCTTTTTTCCTTTAATCCCTGAAAGTATGGCTGTGCCTTGATCTTTCTGAGATCCCCGTGCTCCTGTGCCTGTTGCTGACACTGATGGTAAGCACAGCAAGAACTCTGGGTGGCAGCTGCTGTTCTGGCCATCAGCTTATGATGGCCATTCAGTTCATTCAGTTGAGAAGGGAAAGCTACTGCTTCAGCTCAAACTTAGTTCATTAAGAAACCTGCAAACAGTCTCTAAAAACCCAATGAATGCACAAGCTGTGCAGAACAGTCTTAACTACCCACCTGCCAACAGCACAAGCAAATAAAATCTGCCTGATCAAACAATCCAAGGCATCACAAGAGTCAATCTAGTTCTCCCCACTTCAGCTTTTCTACTTCAAACCCCACAGAAAGTTAAGCCCTCCCAATACTTCTGTAATGTGATCAAACTGGGGAGAACACTGAGGCAAAATAAAAAGGTAGTCAGGAAGTATGTGTGCAAGGTATTAAGATTCACCTTACCATTTTAAGAGTGTTTGACATGAGCTGTAATCTCAAAACAGTTTTTTCACTGTAATTCCACAAGTCATGAGACTTTTATCCAGTAAATTAATCTCCATGCTAGTTAAGCCATGTAATTAAATAACAAGTTCACAGTGTGGAGAACTGATTTTCTGGATGCCTAGTGCTGTAAGTTGGAATCAGACTTCAGATGATATGACTCTTACCCTCAGTGCAGTAGCAAAACTGTTTTTCAAGTTGGTAGCTATGCTCATCAGCAAAGGTTCCCTGCAGGTGATCATGGCCATCCCAGCAGTCAGGTTCCGCATCATGTGGTGTGCGGCCACACGCATCCGTGACTCCTCCGAATCCAGAGCAAAGTCCTTCCTGACTATCTGCTCACAAGTTGTCATGGCAATCTTAATGGATCGATCCACCACGGGATGCACGAGGTCCTGCACCGCACGCTCTATCGCCTGCCGCACACACTGCTTCAGCTGCGGGTGGGCTTGGAACAGCGGGATCTGGAGGAGGAGTAGGGAAGTTGAGGGAATAAAGCTCACCACAATCTCACCTCCCCTAGACATTCACGTTTTCTGAACAACTCCTAAGTGTACTGTCATAGTGTGTGCAGTAATCTCATGTTCCACATGCAGCTATTACAATATTTAATAAAACTGAAACTGGGACCAATGATAATTTTTCTTACCAAGTTGCAGTTGAGCACAATGTAAAGAGTAACTTGAGAGCTAAGTTGCTGGCTGGTCAAAAGGAGCACAAAAGCTCCTTGTAAAGTCCTGATAGCAACTGTCCCAACTGACACACTGCCAGAAATAAATTGGATCCTAATGTCACAGTGAAAGATCACTTGACCATCTCAGATTGCAAATGTAGCTACTTATCACCCCTAAAGTTCTCCACTTGACTACTCATTCATGCTCAACCCTCCATTACTTATGAGAAGTGGCTCACCAACAATTTCAGTCTACAAAATGCTGCTCCCACCAGCTGAGACCTGTGGCAACACTGGGGGTAAGAATTCTTTCAGCAAACTAAATCAGCTCTAACACTTACCGTTGGATTTAAGGTAATATGTGGGGCCAAACCTCCTAAAGAATAGACATTGATGTCATGATAACTGTACTGAGGCTGTGGAGGGACTGTGGCTGTACAGGTGGTGCTGGTAGCTGGAGTTGTAGAAGCAGCTGGAGAAAACAGGCAGGTTTGTATAGAGCCATTAGTGAAAAGCAAACATAACACAAGCATATAGTTATCATTTAAACAAGAAAGTGACAGAACAGACAAAACAGAAGTTTAACAGTTTAATCAAGAAACCTCCTAAACTTATCAAGCAACTTTCATTCTCCATTTTCCCAGTGATTAGTTCCGAAGTAGCTACAGCACATTCTAACAGAGCTGTCTGCTGTGATGGTTTCATCCTGGATGTCTTGTAAAGAGATCATCCTGCCTCATTCCTTTCTAAGGAGTAGCTACACACAGCACATGCAGAATTAGCCCTTCCATTCCCATACCCAAACTGAGTACACCTACTTTTATTACAAAACTATTCAAGTATTCACAAGCATTCAGGTATGTTACAATAGTGTATGTATCTTCCTATCTTCTTTGGAATAGCAAAACCTGTTCTATTTGAACGTCAGTAGTGTGGTTCTGGATTCTATGAGATGTACTTACTAGTTGTTGTGATGGGTGGTAGCTCTTCTGGCTGCTTCACATCCTTCTTTGGAGCAGACAGCTGCTCATCCAGATTTTTCAGACGATCCTTATCTTTCAGCAAACTTCCAGGTTTCAGCTCATTGATGTCTAGTGCAAGATTCTTGCACAGCACCTCAATCTCAAACTTCAGATTCAACTGCAAAACAATTCTGGTTTAGCTCATGTCACAAGGAAAAATACCTGAAACGTACTGGGCCACTTGACTCCCAAGCTCCCCATTGTAACCCCACACCCCTCAGAGACTAATAGTGACTGAGGATTAGGCAAATATCTTGCATGCTGACCTCACAGGAGAAGAGTTTCATCCAAGTTTTATCACATTAAGCAATGCCCAAACAATCTCCTCAAGCTAAAGCAGCAAGAGGTGAAATTTAGTCCTTCAAAACATCCTTCTTAACTGGCATGTCTAGAAAACCCTCACACTCAGGTACAGAACAGAAAAATAGAAGTTTACTTTTAGATCATGTTCTTGATGCAGCTCAGCTAAAACATTCATAATGGCCATTGTCCATGGGTTTGGAGGCCTGAAGACCTACAAGAGAAAGAAGAGAGCAGGATTACACAAACTTCTGAATCATCTGGATAACTTATGAGTGGAAATTTTTGAAACACAAACAGCTATGTGTGCATAAGAGCCATGGAAGTGTTTGTACAGCTGCAATTAAGGCTGAATTTAGTATTCAGTTTGACTGGAACTACATTGGGAAGCTAACTGAGAAACTGGAGATACAGTTACCTGGTCTTTCTGAGATCAGTTCTATGTCAAGTAGACCTGACAAGCTCATCAAGGTCAAAGGGGGTGGGAAGAATGAAGAAAAATAATCAAACAATAAATACATCTTAGAACCTCTTCAATGGCATCCTTCCAGTTCTCTATAGAGTTCTGTTCAGGGACACCTCAGTACAGTTCAGATAACACCACCTATTTATACTGCAAAAATGCATGGGCCATGTACTTTCTCTCAAACCAGAAATCCTTCACTTTAAGCCCTTACATCCCCTTCCCTTCTCTCCATGGAATTCAAACAGTTTTCACTTTGTGAGAAAAGCTAATTACTTTCTGCAATATTTTGCCACTTGAGCATTAACTCTGTCAGCACAAGGACACTTACCACACTCCTGACACTGGATTCTAAGACTTTGGCAACAAATGGCACTACATAGAGCAATTCCTTCTGTCCCTTAACATATGCTTCCAGTAGCAGCGATTTCACATCCAAATCCTGAAAAATACCATCAACAAGAGAGAATGAGGGTGAAGAAAGAGCAAACAGACTGCAAAAATTCCACTTACATACTATTTCCTTTTTGGATATAGGCAAGGCTGAGTTAAGACAGCCCTTGAATTTTACAGACTGTGAAGTGGCAGTTACTTTTTGAACAAAGATATACATATCTACATTTTTTTCATTGGATTAACAAGATCTTGCCAAAATAAATTCAGCTACTAACTTCTGATATAAAACAAAAATATTTACAACTCTTAAATGACCAACTCTGGAATCAGACTCTGTACTTGGCACGCAAAAGAGGCACCACTAGGGTGATGAAATTTCCCAAATAGCCTATGCTACTGCATAACAGCTTACTAGTTCATGCCAAACCAATCTGTAAAGACAGAAGCTCACCGTGTGCAAGATGGGCTTATTTTTAGCCAGTGTAATCATTCCCAGCCAGTGACCAAGGTTCTTTAACAAGGAACGGTCTGAGAAGTTAGCTGCAGCTTTATCTGATGTCAATAGCACCTAATGAAAAAAAAAAAAGGCAACTCAAGCAACAACCGGAAGATAAGCAGGCTCCAAACTAAATCCAACAGCTGATCTGACTGAAGGCAAAGGTTTAGAACATTAAGTTCTGAGCTTCAGTCACATTACAGAGATACTTGAGCAGCCTTCACTTCGAGGCAGCACCCTGTAAATCTGCCCTGTAACAACTCCAAAATTCCTTTCTTTAAAAGGATCAAAAAAGAGGATTACACTTTCCCAGACCTTAGCATTTACTCTGTCGAGACTTTTACAGCTACTCATTTCACAAAGTGTAACTCGTGCAGGCAATGCTTCCTCTTAATGCAGACCTGAAGGCTACAGCTTGTACTTCTAGGGAAATAACTTAATTCTCACATCAAGACTTAAATCATGTCACAAGTATTCTGCTGTTAGTTCTGTTCCTTAGCTTCAGAGGAGCATCAGCTGAACAGAGGTCAACAGTGCTCTAAGGAGCCAGGAGATGCTTTTGCACTACAGCGTAACCCATGGTAGTCAGGAAATTCCACCAACAGGTTTAAAAATAGTGCTTGCTTCACAGACTTGTTTCAGTTATTCATCACTTCTGGGCTACTGTTTCTTCCTCCTCCTCCCCTTTACATTATCTTAGTCCTCTAGTAAATTTTGGTTGTTACACCCTCATTTCCCTTCCCCTTTATTCCTCTTTGACCAAAAGAGCAAAGTGTGGTTTTCTTATCTTTATACTTTCCCCACACAGAAGAACTAGACCATAAGTAATTTTCCCCTAGGTTATCATTTGCAAACCTCACACTAATTTAGAGTTCACCTACATAAACAAATCCAAATGCAGATTTGCCCTCCCATTAGGCAATTGAAGTCTTTTATACATTCCTAATTGAAAACAGAAGAATCCCAGTATTCATACAGATAACCTGCAAGATGTTTAATAGTAAGCTAGGAAATAGATTTGGGAATGATATTCCATATTTGAGTATCAGCAACAGAGCAAGCAGACAGCATGAGAACACCACACTCCTAATCCTTAACTCCACGGAAGGATTTAGAAGACTTGCACTACTCACCTTGATATTTCTGTAGGTTTCATTCAGAACCATCTTATTAAACTCTGGATTCTTAAGTGTGTCAAGGAAGTTTGAATACAAGCTGTGAAAGTTAGGCTCAATACTGACTCTCTTCATCACAAGGTACTGTGATACCCAAGGCATGAACTCTTCTTTCACTGTTTCCTTCAATTCTTCCACCTGTGGCCAAACCAAAGAGAAAGCACAACAACAGAACAGCTAAGATAACCAAAATCTTCTGGGGTCAGCTCTAACCAACACAGTCATGCTCAGTCAATTGCTATTAACTTTAAAGCTGGTTTTATTACAAAATAAAAAGCTCTGAAATCAGTGCCTCATTATCCAAAGACTTGGTCAATCAGTACAGACTCAATCATGTAATCAGCAAGGCAAAATAATTTGCCTCTGCTCCACTTCTTTTACCTGGTAACTGAAAATAAATGTTGGCACCTTACAAGTTCAGGCCATCCACAAGACAGACAGCAGAGGTGGCAGCAGGACTGCACATTTCTGCTAGTTCAGAAAATTCTCTTAATTTCTGCTTGAAATGCAACAGTGCCTCATCTTAACCCTGCAATATTAAATGGCACCTAGCCCATTTATGATGCAAATGTCTGTTCAAGATTGAGAACAGGTATCTTTCACATCTCTCCCCTCCCTGGAAAATTCTCTCTCCAAAGAGGTTCAAGCAGAAAGTGTTAGATCCTAGAACTTCTTTACAGTGTGCTCCCTCGAAGTTTTGCAAGTTGGAATTTTGCAGAAATACCACCACCCAACACTTTCAAATTAATATATTCAAAACACATAAATTATATATTTTATATAAAAAAATACATATCTTTAAATTATTTTTACTAGCATTCTGCCATACTTGCCTTCTGTGTCATATTGGACTGAGACAAATTATTGAAGATGAAAGCAATTTTTTCCTGGACATTCTCTGGTGGTTCCACAATTCTCTCTGTTTGATCTGTTGCTACTAACAGCGTATCAATGTTGGTAGTATTAATGGAAGGCTGCAGGGAGAACAAGAAGTTAAGAATAGACAATACCTAGAGGTGACATCAAAAGAAACTTTTGCTCTGTTCCATCAAGAGAAAACAGAATTGAGCTTTATCAGGGGACATCTACTGTCTCAGATTCATTTTCAGCAGCACTCTAAAGGAGCCAAGTGATTTTTCAGCTCTAAAAATGATGATCAATACTCAGCAGCACAATTCTGCTGCACAAACCCTCTCTGCATTCATATATAATAGATGCCACTGCAATGGCACCCATTAGGCTAACAGCCTGCACACAATTTTAGCTTGGAGCAAAATCACAGCGCAAGAGTGAGCAGTACTTAGCACAGCAGGGAGTCTCCAGGAGCACTTCAGTGCTGACTTGGGAAGGAGAAATCCCAGAGGTTCACTTCTGAGACAGCATGTCAACTCTAAGTCAATAGAATGTGATGCAGGTGCCTACAGCTGCAGGTCTGACCCCAAGAGTTTAAGTTCATGTTACACAGCAATTAAGGGAAAAGGAGATGAGGTTTTGAATATCAATCCTGATTGGAGCTAAAAATTCCTCAAAAGGAACTACTATCTACATGATGTCATCAGGTGTGAAAGGAATTAATAGCTACACTATGAACTGTCCCACAGTTTGTTCACAACACTTCCAGCTACCTTTGGCTTTTGCCTCCTTTACAGAGAACTATTCAAAGTCAGCACCAAGCAGAGAGACAGGCTCAACCTCTCAGAGCATCAGTCATCATACAGTAACTGCACTACCCATCCTTGGTGGGACCAAGTGTGCTCCAAAAGTTTCTGTGCAATAGCCAACACAATCACTCTGCCAACACTGTAATCACTCTGATGAGCAGTTTGGACTTTTTTATGTAAGTGACTAAGATGTGAAAAACCTAATGCAGTTACAACTGTGAGGTTAGATGTGTGCAGTAACTGTTCTCAAGTCCCAAGCAGAATAGCAACTGCCAGCTATTTTAAGAGTCCTATTGCAAGTCATTAACAGAAATGATGGTTCTGTAGTTGTCTTGACAATTAAAGCCTCAATAAATTTTAACTTGACACCAAAGTTACTGTGTAGTTTACTAACCAAAAACGCCTTCCTGTACAAAAACATCGGTCATATTTTGAAAGGTTATATATACAGATCACTTTGAAAACCTTCAGTACAGAAAGTAAACCAGATTTTGTCTATATAACTCCATCCAGAGCAACAACTGAACACCTCTCTTCTCCAGAAAGAGCACTGAGGTGACATAATGCTTACCGGCACATCTTTCTTGAAGCTGACTCCAGTTGGTCTGGTGATTGTAATCGTTTTTGCAACGGTGGTGGTGGTTGAGGTGGTTACTATAGTGCTGACTTGGCCAGCAAGAGGAGCTTTTGCTGGAACCTGGGCCTGGGCCTGAGCCTGGGCAAGTGCAATACTTCCAGGGGTGGTGATTGATCCCTGCATCTTCACAGGAGGATCTCTGGATTGCTGTCCATATTCTATGTACTAAAATAGGGTGAATAAGAACATACAAAAGTTCACATGCAGCAAAAGAAATCCAGGCTGAGTTTTAGCATGAACACCATCAAGCTTTGCTAACAATCATTAAAACACACTAACGACATAAGGGAATCTGCAGACTACAACTGTGTATCCTTATGAAGCACATCTTGTCCCTACTGACTTTCTTACTGGAGAGGTGCCTCAAACTCCACATCTGGCCTCATCAGGTTGATGTCAAGCATCATGAGACTGTATATTCTTCAAATTTTACAGAGCAGTACCCAAAAAACCACATCCCCATCCCTCCAGGCCTGAGACAGCAGAGTGAAAGAGGAAAAAGAGCCTAAGAGAAATGTGTGAATATCAAGAAGTTGGCTACAAAGCAGGTAAAATGTCTTCTCCAAGGACTCTGACAACTAAATAGGAAAGTCTGAAGCTCAGCAAAACCACAGTGCAGAAATGGCAAACTTTAGGATATTACATCTTCTGAAATAGCTCCATAATAGAAAATGAGTTTCTTCCCCTCTGCTAAACATTTCCCCAGAAATTGGTAACATCAGACTGTCATTTCAGGGATACTGTCTGAAACCTGTTAATGAAAATGCTATTGGACTTTGCAGCTTTGGGTACATGACCTCTCTAACTTAATGGCAGAGCTGAACATTCTTCCTTATTTAGCTCATGCTCTCAAGCTCTGTCACTGGGATTAGCTTTTCTGTATTTCTACCAAACAATACACCTTTGAGGCAGACACCATATGAAGAACACTGCTTTGGACTACAAGGCATTCCCATGGCTCTCATCAGACCTTCAGAAATGAAATTTTTTCACCCATCATTTTTTCCCCTGGATTACTTTAGCAGGTCTGAGTATGAAACTGTATAAACCCAGCTGAATGCCCTTTATTTTAAAGGAAAACTCTAAACCTTTAAGAGACTAGAATATGAATCTAGAAATGCACTTTCAAACCTTTGCGCATGGACATGTGCACTCGTTGATCACTCAGTTCTATTCAGGTAGCTATTTCAACATAAGCAACCAAAACAGATTTATGGGAACAGGAAAGGCACTAGATAACCACCTTGACTTGCCTACCCTATCCCACAGCAAAACCTTTCAGAAAAACCAGCATTTGATTCCATGGATGTACACAGCCTACAATCATGATAGATGAGACTGCTTTTCCTAAGGAAAACTTATTTGCTCAAAAGAATTTAAAAATCACAGAAAGCTACTGCTGCAAATACGAACAACTTACCTCCTGTAAATGATGTGGGAACTGTATAAAGTGACTAATAGAAGCCAAGTGCTGACAATACTGGGGATAGTCCTTCAATCTGTTAGATAAAACATGAGTTAGTCAGAAGCATAAGCCCAGATAAGAAACCACGTGAGAAACACAAATATCAAAACATTACTTCTGGACTCCTTAGAGCAGCTGTGCCAGAAACAAAGCATTTTCTACAAGATACATTTTGTCCCAAAACACATTGGAAACGAATTCATTTACCAGTAAAACACAAGGTTTATTCACAGCAACTCATCTTATCCTACATCTCTATTCTTCTGACTGAGCACACAACTGCAATTCAGTGTTTGCAAGAAGATTATTGGATAAGAATTTGTAGTCTGGCTCAGCATTTTAAACAGCAAAGCAGAGCAACCCTCACACCCAAGACAAAAGCTCACCTAGGCACACCAATGATTATAGTTCTCCTTATGAATGGTAGATGTTACTACTACTCAGAGAGTAAAATCCTTAGGTCCTACTTAAAACAGTTCTTAAAAGGAGCAAGATGGTGCCTAAGTCTCAAGCAGGTCAGCCTTAAGTGTCTTTATTCACTCTTCAGATAACTCTACAACACAATAGCCAACCATGACTGTTGTATGCAACAGCTTTGATTACAGGTGAAATACTGCAGGGCAGAACTGTAAAAGGAGAGTAAGGACAGAAGGCACCATGTTCCTTGCTTATGAATCCAGGCTTCAAGTCCGCACATTCCTAGCCATTAAATAATTCCAGGAAGCTTTCTAATACTTTTCAAGGTCAAGTATCTTCTTCCAGATTAAATCTGTCCCATGGGTGCACAAGCCTGTCACTAAGGCAGCCTGCCCTGAGAATTTCCTCTATCTGCAATCCATTAAAGGCTTTGAGAAAGTTTTTTTTTAATTTGAGATTATTTTGCCGTACTTGAGATTTCTATGTAAAACTAAGAATGCTAGAGCTTAGTTCCCAGTCAGACTTTCAGTAACAAACTCCACTGGAATACACCTGTGAAGAGTAATCCCATTCACCCCATTTCTAACCAGCTGAAAGCCTCATCTAACTCAACACTTCACTGAATTACTCACATAAACAAAATCTGCTAAGTTGTATCATCTCAGTTTGTCCCACATATATACAGGTACCACAAGGTAACATTTTCATTTAGAAAAGTCACCAGCACATTCACACATTCTGTTTCAGCTGAGCAGTCCTCAAGTTAAGATGCATAAATTTCTAACACATCTAAGCAACCTTGCACTGCATAATTCAAGACACTATACTATTAGAATTGTTACCAAAACCCACACTCACCTATTTTTAAATCTATCTAGTGCAGCAATACCAAAATAGTACATTTTGGATGCAAAAGGCTTTCGTAAGGCTTCAAGAACATAGCGCAGGGCCAGGCCCAATGCCATATATGTAACCAGTCCTTTCTCTATGATCCCACCAAAGAGGCAGGCAGTGATGTGCAGCTCCTTGTCTGGGTACTGGGGAAAGAAACGATATTCCTCAAACAAGTTCCTCAGCATACAGTTAAACACTTCTCGTTCACGTTTAATGTTGGAGTCTTTAAACCTCTGCAGCATTTCCAAGACCTGCAAAGACATTGGAAATTGTTACCAACAGATTTACTTTACTTCAGCCTTTCTGCGTCTTTATGTTCCATGACTGTTTGCAACTACTAAATTGTGATACCACAAGTCAGACTGCAAAGTAACTGCTTTGAGAACACCTCAGTATAGTCAACAGACACATCACTACAAGCTTTCTTTTCAAACTTTAGTTGTCTCCATTTTCTGTTAAGTAACTGTCTTCCCACAACTTTTCTGTGTCTGCCTACTCCAGTACTTTCAAATTAGAAAAATGAAAATTAATGTTGTGTCTTCCATAATTTATAACCAAATATATTAAAGTAAATTTGAAGTACTTCAAAGAGCAAGTACATCAGACCAATAATTACTCTCACAGAGACTAACCAAAATAATTATCAAAAGCTCAGAAGGTAGAACTCAGGACACTTTTATATATATGGATGTTGAAGACATTTTTAGATATTCTAAAAACAAATATATCCAAGATAATTGATACAGACTATTTAAAGGCACTTTTTAGCACTTATTTTAAACACAAAAGCTTCCACACCACATCCAACCCTTCCCACTTATTATCATTTTAGGAGTGTTAATTAAACATCTAAAGTCTTCATTTACACAAGTCAAAGCTGCATGTAATGATCAACTGCAAGTTTACTGTGAAAACAACTTCAACCAGGCAAAAAAAGCAATGCTGCAAGGATCTACCACTACCCCTTGATTATTTCCCACTAAAACTAATATGTAAAGCAATAATTACTATCAACTTCATTGCAAACCTCTGGACAGGTGATGCAGCTGCAGTAGGAGGGAACTCACCTCATCCACAGACATGGTGGGATGTGGTGGATGGTTGTAAATACGCTGGAAGTAGCTGTTTGCCTCATCATCTATTTCTTTGCTAAAGTGCTGGTTAGCCTCTGGCCACACCTGAGATAAGTCAGCTGTTAAAAAAGGGAACAGGTATCATCCTCAGGACAACTTCAGGCAGTCAGGATTTCATCTAGTCCTTTTCAACTCTTCCACCAATCTATACAGAACCTGCTGCTACTTCTGAAAAGCAATATAGCCAATCTTCCCAGTAGACAGGAATTACTATCTAAAAAACTTTTCAATCTATTTATTCGAAGCACTTAAGATAGCATTAACCTCACACTGCTGTACTGCTAGAACCCACTGCATCCCAAGTTCACCTCAACTGACACCTAAGTGAATGAATACAGAACAGACTAGAACAGAGCATGCTGCACAACACTAACATGCACACAAACTTGCACACAAACTTTCAGGCCAGCCAGTGAGCTTCAAACAAGTTTATATTGAATGTTTAAGACCCAAAATATAAACCAATGGCCATTACAATCACCTCCAGAGCATATCTGCAGAGATAGGTAACATCGCTGTTATTACATATGACTTCTTTGATAGCTCCTCCACAACAGCAATGTGGAAGATTCAGCACATGGCTGTGCTTCCTGAACATTTGACTGCTTAAACACTTCACTGTGAACATACTACAGAGGCATAAATGAGTTAAGGATAATGGCTTAGTGTTAGAAATCAAATTATTCCTTCCAAAAACTACCTTCCCACCAACTTTTGTTAGTCATACTTGTATCCAATGTTGCAGACTATTTCACTGCTTCACCTGTCAACTTCTTTGCTGCAACAGCACCTTACCCAGGTAGCTTTGTTTAACCTTGCTACAAACAAAACCAAACCCACCCTGGAACCAGGAGCTTACAATTCCCTGTCAAGAGTGAAACAACTTTTGTTCAAAACACAGCACAGCAGGAAAAGGACAGAAACACGCTGCTCATGCAAATCCAGAACATGTTATATTTTTATGCCAACAACTTTTTTTTTTAATCTCCACAGGCCACTTGGCAAGCTTTTACGACACAAGTTTAGAAGCACCTTTTTCAGACTAATGGAACAGTACAAGAGACGTATTTCTAACGTTCACCACCTACAGATCCAAGCCTCCCCTGAAGGAAACACAGATTAACTGCAGACCACAGTCACACTTCACAGCCACAGACAACACTACCACTTACAAGGTTTCATCTTACTCTGCTGGAATGTAGGCTGGTTCAGTCCAGATGTGCTCAGCTTCCTTTGCACGAATGGGTCATTGTTCACAGCAGGAAGGCCCAGGGCTCCAGTTCCTATGCCACTCAGGCTACCCGTAGTAAGACCACCTACTGAAAAGCAAATCTGTAGTAAGACGGCCTACTGAAGAGCAAACAACTGGTTATCTCAGTTGCATCCTCACAATATGCACCTACCACTCCTCCCAGCACTTGTCATTTCCAAGAGCCCAAAGCTTTACAGCCTCACAGCTGTCTAATATCAAGCAGTTTTAACTAAAACAACTCTTCATCTTTGTCCCAACCTAAACCAATACCGATCAATTTGTCAAAACACTCACCCCCTTCACTCTCAAAAATATTTTATCTGTTGCAGCTGCAACACACTGAAGAGCTGTTTCAGCAATGACCCAGGAGGGAGGACTGTAACTCCCTCCCACACGACACAGCTGTTTGTCCAGTACTCCCAAGCACGGCAGTAACGGTGCCTTAGCTCTGCCACGTCAAACCAAACCACTCCACCCAAATAGCAGTACCTGGAAGCTGTGAAGAGAGTCCTCCAATGCCACTGAAACCTGTCGTCTGGTTCTGGGTGGAAAGAGGGGGGAACGCTTTTGCTGGTGACTGAGGAGTACTGAATGCAGAGCCCAGGTTTGGAGGGAAGCCTTGCATGCTCTGGGTGTGAGGAGCAGCTGAGCCACCTAAACTAAGAGATGCCATTCCCGCAAGCGAGTCGATCTGAATGAAGAGAGGAAGATTATAGAGACATCCATAAATCACAATCCAGCTGACTTTTTGGCATGCTTTGTGCAAAGATGGCTACGTATCAAAACATTCCTGAGCAAAGCCTTTCTGCATGGTTACTGTAAGTAGTGAAGTCATCCACATCACCCCTAAAGATTAGTTTGTCTACAGAATGTGCTTTCATTTTTCTTCTACAATCCCATGAAATCCTATTCTCTCAGAGGTTTTACATAAAGGCTGATTGTTCCACAGTCTGTAGTGAAGTGCAACACAACAGTAAATGCTTATAATAAGCAACAGCATGCAGATTTTTATACTAGTTTATGCTCTGCACTTTGTGACCTCAGACCTCACCCCAAGCTATTTCATCTCAAGCTTGCAGAGTATTTTTGACTGTCTGAAGGATTCCACTATGCCCACTGCTCACAGCTAAATACCTGAATGAAGTCTTCAAAAAAAGCATTAGGACCTGGGTGATGAGGAGGGAGGCAGGCACAATACCAGCTGACAAAGCAATAAGTGAAGAAACTGACTAGAACAGTTTCTGACTAGGAACAGCAGAAGATGGTTTTATCTACCCAAAAGACAGCACAACTACAGACTAACAGTTGCTGTTTGTTAGTATCAGTTATTCACAGCAGGTTGCCAAGATATTTGCTATATCTGATGAGCAACTTCAATAAAGCAACAATTTACAAGAAAACTGCTCTGTGTTTAGTTTAAGTAATCTACTGATAATTCACTCATTCTAAATGTTGAATTGCCACTACTTCATATAAAAAACTTGTCACGACTTAAAAATCTGCCATTGAATGTAACTGCTAGAAGCAAAACCTGTCTGTAATGTGTTGCTCCCAGAGGAGGAAGGGATGATGAGTGGCAGGGAGTAACTGAAATGTACCTTGTTTTTAAAAGAGCAGTTCAGATGAGAGCTGAAGAGCCCCAGTTATAACAAGTCCTTATGCTCTAGCATTGTGGCTTGGCCCGTGAAGCTACAAACAAGACATATCAGGTTCAAAGGCAGTGCTTAATTCTCAAGTCTTTGTAAATTTTAGCACTTTAAAAGAAAGCCTCAGTTATTTTAAATAAACCAAGTATCTGTCCCTCTCCAGTGCTCCCATCCTGCTATACTTCACAGTTACTTCTTACAGACATTTGTGAAGTGAAAGACAGTTCTGAGCTAGAGCCCTCAGGCATTATTCTGTAGTAACAAGCAAGTTATCCAGGCATGCAAGCACAAAACTACATGAGCCGGATGATGTTTGACTTAGTCCTGCCAAAAGAGCTCAACTAGTGCTGCAGAACTAGCAGTAAGTCGACAGCACCTTCTGAAGAGGCAGCACAGTGTGTGTACCTGCACAGGAGAGATGGCATCCAAGCTGCTGGCGCTGGGCGGGCGACCTTTCGGCATCACTCCAGGTGGTGGCTGCCGAGCCTTGTTCATGACATTACTGCAGTTTGCTACCATGGTGAGAATCGTCTCTGACAGCTCCTGAGAAACACTCCTAGGACACAGAAGCAAGGCAGTGAGCCATGTAACATTCACGAAACTAAGGTCCCTAACTTCTTTGGTTTTCCTACAAAAATTGAGGCCACGCTTCAGAAAAAGAAGTTGCAAAACAATCCCAGAAGAACTACATTCTGTTACTTGCAGAACTTGCCTTAGATCATCTCCCAAGAGAAACAGCTACATTTAAATAAAAGAATTTAAACTGTAGTGATAAAAATTAATCTCCAATAGACTATTCCTTTGTTTACAGTAATTCAAATACTCCTTTACAGTTACCCCAGCAAGCAATGACTTACAGAAAGCTGGGATACATAGCTACATGGCTCAAACAGCTCTTGGAAAAGCAAACCACCTACAACAGCCTTTGTTGGCTGTTCTCCACATTATGGGCTATACACAGCTTAGCCTTGTGAATTAAAACATGTAGTTCGTGATGCTATGATCCCCTCTTCAAATCCACTCCTCAAGGCTCCTTCCTGCCCACAAACCTCACCATTTGATTATTCCCCTTCTGAATCTCATTACACACAAGGTCTCTCTAAACAATGAGCTACATGGGCTAAGTACTCCAAGACAAAAAAACAGGATGAGAGGTAAACACCAGCACCTGCTTCACTAAAACTCAGCTGTCTACAAACTGAAAGGCATGATTCACACAGTAGCATCAGAACAGATAGGAAACCACTATTCAAGGAAAATATAATCAGAAAAACATCGGAAAACTCAAACTTAGGCATCAAGTCATTGCGCAACCGAGAGCAGCCAGTACCTCTGTCCAAAGTGATCCATGTGTGACTGCCAGCTTCCCAAACTGGAAGGAAAGCCAGCTCTGCTGCTGACATACCTAACCACAAACACACTAACAGAACACTAGCATTTTCCTTTTGGAAAATACAGCCAATTATTTATGCTTTCCTGAACTTTAGTTCCACCTCTTTGGTAAGCACAGCTAAAGCTGTAGATTCCCTTCCTGTAATGGTGTAACTATACCAACACAGCTTTGTGGCTCTGTTAAACTTGCCTGGAGGTTCCTCATTTTAACTCAGTTTTCACAAGCACAACTGTTAGGATGAGGGAAAGGGATGGACAGAGGAACCATCCTGACGATTAAGGCAGGAAACCAACGTGCCTTCAGCCTTGGCATGTATCCCATTACAGGCTACAACAGAGTCAGTTAAGGGCTCTGTTGTTCTCCAAAGCCAGTGATCCACTATGCACTGTGAGGGAAAAAGCTCACCCATGAGAGACAGGGGAGCCTGGGGAGATACCATGGGTGAGCAGGTGTCCATACAGGGCAACAAACGTTTTATTAATTGTTTCACAAGCTGCTACCTTTACACTCTTCAACATCCTCTCACCAGGGCCTAGTGTCAAATACTTCAAAAGAAGAGGCTTGGGGGGTGTATGAAAATGCAATCAGAAACCTATATTCAAAAAAACTCCCAGAGATTTCTTTTTGAGAAAGTGCAACCTTCCGAAGGCAACAGCAACCAGACCTGAAGACAGAGCTCTGAGCGTGGCACACAGGAGGCTCAGTATCTACAATACATATTTGCCTTCACCCCAATGCCTCAGCCTCAGAAATCCCAAAATTTACATGTATATATGACCAATTAATAGGCAGCATAGGGGTTTTTTTTCTGCTGCAGGAGGCATTCCAAGACCCTACAGCACTGCAGTTAGCCATGGAATGGGACTGGGGACTGCAAAGCACAGTCCACAGGTAGTTACTGCCCTCAATCTTTCCCCCTCCTCCTTTTTGAAGGGTTAAATTCGCAGTCTCTATGCTGAAATACCATAGCAGGCTTTTGTAAAACAAATTCCAATCTGCTGTAGGTAGATAATGTGGCAGTCCACAATCAGGTCAGACTTACAGTCTTAGAGTTCAGTACCTATGGTGACTGGTTAGGCTATTTGTGTTTCGATGAGACGAACCACTAACCTTTTGTCCTACCATTGAGGCAGACTGAAGGTTAGCCTTTTTATCATGTCAAGAAAACACTGCTGTATCAAGATGCAAAGGCCACAATATTTTTAGGCAGCACAGAACTGCAGCATTTCTAAAAATATCCAACTAAACCCATAAAAAACCCCAAAACCCAGCCTGCATTTGAGGTAAATGAAGTTGGCAGGCTGAGAGCCAAAGACCACACTCAGCCACGTCTAGAACAACAAAACTATCACCCTAAGAGAAGCTCCAGCTTGTTGGAATAACATATTCACATCTCTTGCATTTTATTTTTTCGAGCCCTTTCTTACAAAATAGGTGAAAGCCTTTTTATTCTTGAGGCACAGGCAGCCAGAAACCTCTTCCCTTTTGGAGACAGGACTGAGAAGAATTACCATTCCCCACACTGACACACTTGGACCACACAGGACACAACCACATGGAAGATGCACTGCTGCCCCTCTGCACTCACTGCAGCTCCACCTCCTAAGCAGCTCGTTAATAAATCACATTTGGTCAGCCTGTGGTGCCTGCAACCACCCTGACTTCATTGTAAACACATAGTAATAAAAGGAACACTTATTTCTTTTTGAAGCCCCACTGCTACATGATGCCACCACTGCAGTGCTCTCCAGTGATAAACAAGCCGGACCAAAAATAAGTCTCAGAACATGCAGAGTCCTGATGGCTAAAAAAAAAAAGTGTCTCCCTGGACACAAAACAGGACAAGAAATAACTACAGCCTAATTAAAGAGCAGGCTCCTGAATCAACAGGTTTAGGAGATGGCAGACTTCAGCCAGTGAAGTGGAACTGCCCTGCCAGACATATTTAATCTTTGAGTCCTTACAACAGCTACTTCCATTTGTGACTAAGACCTGAGCTAATCAAAGCAACTGCTTCATGAAAGAAATCCAAGCTTTTTCTTTCTAAAGCTCAAAGAGAATAACTAATGGAAAATGACTGCAAGTAGGTCACATTCTTGAATAAAAGGAAATACAAGCAGCTATAAAAAGAAACCAAAAGCTCAGAGAATTGTGCCAGTAGAGAACTAGTGGCTTTTCAAATTAATGGAATAAATAAAACTTGGTAACACATTAAGATTCAGAACACAGTGACATTAGATGCAAATCAAGTTTACAGTTAACTATTAAACCTCAAACATGGACACTGTAACATGCAAAGTAATATGAGATTATTTGTGAACTACAGTCTCAGAAGATGCACTTGGAGTTGAAAAATAACAGCTACCTCTTCAGTCCAAGATGTGCTAGCCTATCACATTTCAGAAATAATATTTCAACAGCATTTTGAAATCCAGTTGTACAGGTTCCAGCAGACATCAGGAGAACCCTTTCTCCCAAAATCTTACAGGTACCTCAAATTCACTTTCAGTTCAAACATCCATTGTGACAACTCCACATTGATACTAATTTGTTAGCATCTACATGAGAGCCATGAATCATCCTGGATACCTTTAAAGATGTTTCTTATCTCCTTCAACACAACACTGGCTAAGCCAAGGGACACAGTATAAGCCTCAGATCAGGTAACATACTCAGACATGTCAGCCTCATTTGGTGTAAAAATGTAGCACCAAAACTAGCACCATCTCCAGCTTTCAGTTACTGTAGCTCATACATCACACTGTGCTATGCCTAGTTATCTCTGAAATATTGCTGCAGTTAAATACCACCTTGATCTGACAGCATTAAGAAATGACACAAGTATTCCACAACATTCAGTCACGTTTGCTACGTGTGTACACAGTATTTAAAAGACTTATTTGTCAAATTTCAGTTTCCATTAGCCCTTCTGTAGTACACCCCTTCCTCTAACAGTTAACAGCTCTCAGACCCACACCTTTTTCTTCTAACTTTAGCTGAACAATCTGATCTGCAAAAAAATCTTCAGTATTTTCCATCTTTGACTACTTCGAGTCTCTCAAATGAATACAACAGAAGTTACACATGTCTAGTTTCAGTCCTAAATACACTATAAGGACCACTCACCACTTTTCTCCTACACATATGGTCTGCAAGAGCCTTTAAAGCAAGGGCAGTTACCAGGGAGGCATTTGCTTAACAGTCACAAAATCCTTTATAGTCATGTTTCCCAAGATGCTGTACCATTCTGTAGCCATGGCCTGTATTTCTTTGTCCAAGTTACAGCCCTGTATCTAGTCATCAACTGAGGATCTGAGTAACCAGCCAGTCCCCAGTTAACAAGATGACCTCACCTGTTTGAGGATAAAGACAAGAATACTCAAGCTCTTGTGGCTGCCTACAACAGAAGTTTCAATACAAAATTAAACATACTACTGCACCTATCCCTGCAAGTTTATATATTCTCATTAACCCCATTCTCCACGTGAAATTCCAAACCAGCTGTGACCATGTGCCAGAAAGCAAGTTGCAGAGTACACATTTGGCATAAGTAATACAATTCTTACCCAGCACAGGCTTGGAGACAGGCCAACATAGTCGCCAAGGTTTCCGGAGGAAGCTGAGCACTTTTGGGCTGATCTTTTTCTGGAGCAAGGCCACCCAGGATAGATGGACATCTTCTCTTTAAGAAAGTCATACAGGCCTGGATGAAAGGCTCCTGAGGAAAAAACATTATTTTAATCTGCCAAACTGGATCCAAGACACTATTTCAAACTTGGCAATCGCACCGTGGAAAGAATTGCACTAAGCTAATATAGTCCAGTGAAAATGTTGAACTATCGGACCATGGACACTTTCCACAACTTTAAAGCTACTTACAAAATTGTTAAAGTGACTTAAGCTAGTCACTGACAAGAGTGCAGAAATAAAAAGAAAAATCCTGCTTTACCCCATGCTCCCGAATTTTATCTGTGAGCCATTTGTCAAGTTTGAGGTATTCCCGTCGAGAGGCAAGTGCAGCAAGGTCAATAACAAAGGCAAATGGAGTACCATTTAGCAGCATTGACAAGGCCTAAAGAAAGAAAACCAGAAGACTACTAGTGAAGACACAAGGATACCCTTTCTCCTTTCTTTCCAGTCCACATGTACTTTTTAGTAAGGAAGTCTCATTATCACATGCTGCTATGCTTTCTTTGTCAACGAAGATTGGTACTATCAGCTTCACTTACAGCTCACTCGTGATAAATAAGCCAGAGCTCTGATTTGAAGGTATGACTTTACCTTCTTTGAAGAGACCTTGTGCTGACAGTTTTCAATTCCCCTACATAAAAAGCCACCAGCAAATGGTCCAGAGCTACCAAGTTGATATTGCAACAAAATTAAGCAGAAGAGCCTAGCACCTCCCTGCAAACAGACCTCAACCTCTTCAGAGACACTCAAGATACATCTGCTCAAAGGATTCATCTCTGAGCACGGTAGTTGCTACAACACAATTGACTTCATGCAGCAGCTGGTGCTCTCGCACTTTGAGACACCCAATTATTTTAAATCTAACTTTAGGAAGCAATAAAGGCCTCAAAGACATCACTCACAACTTCCAGTCCTTTATGAATGCGTAAACACCAAGAAGTAGCAGCATTCTCAAGAGATTCCCCATTCCATTAAGCTCAGCATTCACACAAATATCTGACATATTTTTACATTCTCCTTTCTTCAGTATACAAACAGTCAAAGCTGTTCCTGAGCTGACAGTACATTCACACAGCAAACAGTTCTGTTGTGCTGCTTCCCAAGGTACTTGTCAGCTAAGCCACGATAACCAACCTCACTGTAAACACCAAGTAAAATGTCTTGGGCTCACAACTGGACAGGCTTGAAGCCTCTCTGTAGTCAGATACCCCAACTCAGCTGAAGAGTACTTAAAGCCACATGAACATAGGCTTTTTTTTTTAATAGCGGTACAGCAGCAACAACTGAACTCAGACATGCTTGAAGTAATCCTTACTTAAATTAGGCTAAGTTAAGCTTAGCCTTTGTTAAAAGGTGTGCAAGACTGCATAAGACACCAGACAGAAAAGAATGACAATGTTTAGCAAAACTCACCTTCAAGTCTTGTGCCACATCAAGAATTCGTGACAATTTTGCTTGGTCATACTGTTCCCCTCTCATGTACCATTCTGCCATCGCATGCATGATAAGCTGACGAATTGAAGGAGACTGACCCTAAGGAGAATTAGATTAGGATTGCACTGCATGCTTCTAGGAAAAGGATCAACTATGTCAACATTAAAAAAAGAGTATTTTACATCTAAAACTTAACATACAAACATATTTACTCTTTAGCTTCAGAAATCTGTTTCTGAGCAGAGCTCATTCTATGCAATGACAGGAGCTACAACTAAGGGATGTAAAAATGACTGCAAACGGTAACATACATCCCCATCTCCCTCCTACCACTGTATAGTCCTAATTACTCTCAACTGTAGACAAACTGGTTTTGGACTATGCAATTAATGTACAAAATGTTACGCCTGAATGATGTCCTCAAGTGAGAATTCAACATCACACCTTGAGAACACAGTATCTAGCTCTTTGCTCACACAGGGGCCATTTTGAACTACACCACCACTAAGATTTTGATGGCTGCAAGGGTTTTGTTTCAAGGTTCCCTCATCCAGGAAAGTGAAACATCCTCAAGCTGTGGAATGGCACCATGTCCCACAGCAGCCATCACTCTGTGCTTTATTCTGAAGCCTACTGTGGAAAACTGAATATTCTGTCATTACATCACACCTATCCTACCCTCCATTTTCTCCATTTTTAAACTTATAGACTTTTATCAGGAAAAATGTAAAACATTCATAGCATTCAGCTAGCAAATAGCCATAATTCTGCAGTGAATGTGACCTCAGAGGCCAAGTCTACTGTACATGAACAGGGCAACATGTTTCCTAATGCAGATTCCCTCCCACCACAGAGGCTCCTCCTCTCAGGGCCTAATGCAGATTCCCTCCCACCACAGAAGCTCCTCCTCTAAGGAGGCTTATGACTTCTCTCTGCTTAACTACCAATGCACACAATGATGAAGGCCTCACCAAACAGCAAATCCACTAGAAGAACAGGATTTGCACACATAGCTACCCTATCTCTATGTGGAAGTTCTCCCTGAAAAGGGTCAGCAGCCTAAGTTTTCGGAAAACACCCCAGACTGAAAACTTACAGTGAAAGTACTTTCTTTATGTCTAGAATAGTATTCAGCTTTTGTCAAGTACAAAGGAGATTAGTTTGGTTTAAACCTCCTCACTTCTTACTGCTTCAAGGTTTTACACACTGAACATGTGAGGGGGCAGGGCAGAGGATGCTGCTCTGAGGATTTTTAGCTTTTTTTTTTTGCTATTTTTTGCCCTTTTTTTTTTGCTATTTTTTGCCCTTTTTTTTTAAAAAAAAAATAAAATCAAACTTCAGGCAACTTTGAATAAAACTGAAAGGCTTAAGAAAGAAACTTAACTGTCGTGCTACTTTCCCAGGAATATTTTCTCAGTGAATATTATTGAAAATAAAATCGTAACAGTTTGCTTCAAGTCAGGGAATGGACAACTCATTACTTTGCATAAACTACAGATAATTGACCTCTTGGGTTTTAACTGCATTTAACAAGCTTTCAAGTTACATGAATTCCAGGCACACTCCAGTGAAAATGCTTACCTGTCCATGCCATGCATAGTGCAAAATGATGGCAGAGTTGGGATGGTTGCCAAGGAAAATTGGCATGAGTGTGGAGATGAGTTCGTGGCGCAAGGTATGCCAGGACGTGTTGATCTGCAGTAAGGCCAATACCAGCATATCTGGGCAATGCTTGATAGGGAAACTGAAGAGCTGCTTAACCTGTTCATACTGCCCCACTTCAGCCAGTCGTAACAGAGATTCGATCAAATCTAGGCTCTTCCTAACAAAAGAGAAAAAAACCAACAGACAACCCCCCAAAGTTACAAAGCAGCAAACTTACAGGATCCTGGAGTGAAGCATTTTGTAGCAAGAACTGTGGTATAAAGCAACACCCACTGCAAACAATCTGATGCTGCAGCTCTTATCATGTACAGTTAAGCCTGCAAGAAACTATGAAAAATAAGTTCTTTTTTTAGAGCTTAAGAGCTTCTGATTATTAGGCACAGGGAGAGTTGAAAGCTGATGCTGAAGAAATTCAGCCTGAGGTGGGTCATTTGGATACCCTAACTTTTTTAACACCTTCAAGTTCCCACTTGTGAAACTTCATGCAGATACTCTGCTTATTTTGTCTGCTTTACAGACAAGTTATCATTGCCAATTTACCTGTATTCCCCATCCTACAATTCCCTATTTTGGGCCAATTAAAAAAGCAGCAAATATCTTTGCTGTAAAAAGCTACATGGCTGTATCAAAGGAGTGTAAAGGTCAGATCAGAAAGCCACACAGTCAGCTTTATGCAGTACCTCATCACCAGCTACATAAATTTACTATTTAAACTCCAGGATTCTTTTATACAGGTAAAGCAAATTTCTCTAATGTCATCCTGGGAAAGACAGATTTCAATCCAAACCACCTTCTCCATTCCCCTCCTTTCAGCTTGGCAGTATAAGCCAAAATACATCAGCATTCTCCAAACAAGCCCCTGACTCCAATCAAAGCAAGAACTGGCAGTACATTTTCAGGTATTATTGAAGTACACAGGAAGTTCTGATAGTATGAGCACCCTCACCAATCACACACAGAACAAATCCTAATGGCTGATCTTCTGGGATGTACACACACAGCTACAAATAAACGTGGCTGCATGAAGATAAAGCCAGCTCTGACCAAACAGGTGATCTTCTCTAACTCTAGGCACGAAAAGCAATTGTGAGCAGGTTTACCATGTAGCAATTTCTCGATTGTCATCCTCTGGTGGTGCTTTCAGGATGTCTGTGGTAACAGCATGGCAAGGGTAGTCAGCAAAACAGAAGATGTCAGGGTTTATGAGGGAATGTTGAATGAAGGAGAGCTGGAATAAAAAAACCACAAAAATAGTTCAGATATTAGAGTTCCAGGCTCCTTCCACTTTATCAAGAGCCAAATTACTGAGAACAATATAAATCAACAAAGCAGTAGAATCAAGATTTACTACCAGTGTATTTTACACAAGACTGAACCTCACACTTCTTCCAGGATTTCTGAAAGCCACAGATTGAGGCATGCTGAGGGCTCTAGTCTGCACAAAGCTGTGGCCTTTCTGCATAACCAGGTAAAAACTTCCCAGCACTGCCATGCAGCAGCAGCTCTGTGCTCAGCTGCACTACACATCAGAACTCTGCTAAAGCCAAAGGTGGTGTCACACATGCATGGCAAGCGACCATCTCTCCTCACACCATGCAGACACTGGTCAGTTAACAGACTGTACTTCAGTAGCACACCTGAGGCCTATGTCTTACAGGCCAAGTTCTTTAAGGTAGCTTATCTAAAAATTCACATTACCAATCCCCATTTGCCATTCAAGAAATTCAGAAATTTGACAAAATACAGATACAGCAGAGAAATGCTGATAAACCTACCTGGCCCTCTGCATGCTTCCAAGGTCTGTATATGGCATTCACCGGAAAAACCTCCATGCCCAGCCCTCTCTGGATGCCAAACACTACAATATGCAGGCCCTTACTGTCACGAATCTGAAATCCTGGATGGTCCAACTCGTACGTCACCACTTTGAAGTCCAGGCTAGGGTTCTGCAACCAGACAAACAAGGAGAGTCAGCCTTGATCACTGCAATCCTCAGTACTGTCTTGTAAGAGTCCCTCTTCATCAGTACTTTATCCAGCTTAACATCCACCCAGCTTTTAGTTAAAAGCAAGGGTTTTGTTTTAAAAGGAAGAGGATTTAGATAGTGGTGAGAATTTGATGCAAGCTAATGTTTCAGACTAGCCTGTGCGATGGCATTTTCCCCAACACTACAGGGAGTAGCTGTCTATCCCTCCAAACACTTCAATAACAAGACTTCAAAAAAAACCAGAACACCAACCCCCAAAACACCCAAACACAGCTCCTTTCTTAGCATGCTAACTTATTCCTTTTGTAAGCTTCCATACAGCCTCTGATAGAAGGCAGATGGGTCTGACCTGCTGGCAGGCAGAACTCGCTTCTCCTTTTGCAAAATGTAAACTGCAAGTCCTTGTAAAGCACACACTACAATTTCAGCAACAGTGTGAAACAATACAGATGAAGGAGCTGGGAGAGAACTGTGGCCATTGTGGAACACAGACCACTCCTTTCAGAGATGGGAGAGCACCAGAGACAAAGCTGTGTTATGACCCAAGGTTTAGAAAAACAAAACGGTGACTCCTGCATACATTAGAGGGAACACACAGGAAAAAATAACCCAATATAAGGTAGGCAAAGGAAATGGTACTCATGTCTAGCTGAGTTAATTACAAAAATTGCTGCTTCTAAAGTGGTGGAAAAACTTTCCTATTTCTGAAGTGTCATCATACACAAGAAGCATTTAGAGTTTTGGAATGAGCAGCTACAAAAATATTGTTTCATTTTCATAATTAATGCCTACAGTGAGCAGCTTTTCAAAACAAGGTGTCTGATGCCCAAAACTTTCCACTGTCAGAAATATGCTGAAACACAAAAACCCTCAGAGAACACATGCTGGAGTATGTGGGAGCAGTGTGGAATAAATCTCAAATTGCATCCAAGTTAGTCATCCAAGCAGCTTTTATTTCCCACAATTCCTCAAAATTTTCTTGTTCACGAGGAAAAAACCCAATCATTTAGTACAGCAGAGCAATTACATTAAGGAGATTCAAAGCTACTCAGGTTGGTGGAGCTTATAAAGCTTTACAATCACACAGAGACATGCCCTGCTTTCACATATTCCACATAAAAGACCAAGATGCCCAAGAAACTTACCAGCTCTTTAAGAACATCAATCAAGACCTCCACATTCCAGGTATGGGCTTGGGCTCCATCATTCTTATCTTTCCCATCACTCCAAATCCCACTGCCAGGAGCCGAAATAGACTGCAAGTTAAATACACCGAATCAAACACCAGTTACAAATAAAGCAGTCTCAAAACCCACTGGCTACAGAACTTCCGGCACTAGAATGGTGTGAGCAGATATTCAGAGCAGTAATGACACCAGTTTTACACCTCTGAGGATCTTTCATTCACACAAGTGTCACAGACATTTTCAGCACAACAGTCAGAAGTATTGAGTAACAACAGCAATTGTTAAAGTACTACAGGTTAGGATCTTAACTCTTTTTCTGCTGCAGTGTAATCCCCAGCCCAACAGGCCACTCACCTGTAATGGAATACCATCTGTCAATCCTGAATGAGTTCGAGCCATCATCCCCAACACCCTGGCGACCTGAGCAGCCGTGACTTCCCGAACGCCAAACTGCATGATGATGTTGCGACATTCTTCGACACTAAGGTGCAACAAAACAGAGCTCTTAAGAGGAAAGCAGGTTTGACTGTGGCACAACATCAAACAGACCTAAATCCAACCTGTGAGTACAGCTGGGGCCACACACAGATTGTTGGGAGAAGCTAATTCAAGACTGAAACATGACCATTCACTCAACTTAGTTGGGTTAGTCAAATCATCCAACACGACAAAATTCCAGGACAATCGAGAAGAACAATTCAGTAGACAGTCTGTGCAATTATTTCCACAAAACACACTGTGCCACATATGCAGTTCAGAGCTAGGTGTACTGAAGTGACAGGCTGATATGTGGCACAGGCTGTGCTCTGCCAAAGCAAAAGCACAGAGCAGGTTTAGCACTGTTTTTCGGTTCAAAGCACTTCCACGCATTGACCTGTGATACAGAGCTTCAAAGACTAGCAGAAAACTTCAGCAAAAAGTGAAACAAAGGCTTTGAGAATGCACATTTCAAAACGATGAGTGCACCGTTCAAAGGTAAGCTGTGAATGTTTGCCCTTCAGCCTGATGCATGCCAAGGCATCCCTGAGCAGAGGTCACCAGCCAACACCTCTGAGGAGCCAAAAGAACAAACAATGAGCAGATGCTCAAGTTTCAATTTTAGAACTGAAGTCTTTTTTTCGCAATTTTTTTCAACTTTGTGAACACTTCATAACTAGGCCAACAAGATTAATAGAGCATCAGTACAGATATAAATTGTTTTATTAATGAGCACATATTAACACAGAAAACAATTTTCAGTATCTTCCAACACATTGTGTTTTTACTTCGTGATTGAAATAGAAACTTATGTTACTATCTTTGAGATTTGACCACCTGCCCAAAGTAGTCAAGAGTTTCCCTCTTAAAATACAGAATCATTTCCATCTAGCTTATGCTTCTTAATGAATTTTCCTTTAAAGAAAAGGTTAGGCTCATCCTGAGGGCTCACACTAAGATCCCCTTTAAAACCAGCCACACACTTGCAGCTTCCTATTATCACTACTGGTAGAGAACTATCCCAAATCTTGACAAGCTGAATTCACAAACCAAGCTGAATTCACAAACCAAGCTGAATTCACAAACCAAGCTGAATTCACAAACCAAGCTGAATTCACAAACCAAGCTGAATTCACAAACCAAGCTGAATTCACAAACCAAGCTGAATTCACAAACCAAGCTGAATTCACAAACCAAGCTGAATTCACAAACCAAGCTGAATTCACAAACCAAGCTGAATTCACAAACCAAGCTGAATTCACAAACCAAGCTGAATTCACAAACCAAGCTGAATTCACAAACCAAGCTGAATTCACAAACCAAGCTGAATTCACAAACCAAGCTGAATTCACAAACCAAGCTGAATTCACAAACCAAGCTGAATTCACAAACCAAGCTGAATTCACAAACCAAGCTGAATTCACAAACCAAGCTGAATTCACAAACCAAGCTGAATTCACAAACCAAGCTGAATTCACAAACCAAGCTGAATTCACAAACCAAGCTGAATTCACAAACCAAGCTGAATTCACAAACCAAGCTGAATTCACAAACCAAGCTGAATTCACAAACCAAGCTGAATTCACAAACCAAGCTGAATTCACAAACCAAGCTGAATTTGTGCAGATAGCAGACACACAGAAGGAAATGATCCCTGAGTATATTCAAATGACTTTTCAAAACGTAATTTCTGCCTGAGGTTTAGCTTCTCCTTCCACTTTCCTAGTAACTATTCCAATTCACACATGTACATAAGCAGCCTATGCAATGAGATACTTGTGCAAGGTGCAGTATGCACAGATCTTTAGTGCTGCTGACATCACTCCCATGATCTCTCACAGCTCCAGCAAGGTCAGAGCTGTCCCTGGAACAATACAGACAAGGGCAGACAGCAACAATATGGAAGACTATTGAAGATGTGGGTAATGTGTTCTACCAAAACACACACAGATCCAGGTCAAGTTTATGACAGTTGTATTTTTACCAAAGAAAGCCTAAGCAGGAAAAGATTGATGCGCTGTCAAGATATTCCAGAATTCACTATTATAATTAGATTCTACAGTTACAAATAATCTCAATCTTTACCAATCAATTGATCAGTACCACACTGATCAAAACCCAATACAAACAGAAAAGCTGCTGCTGGTCAACTCTCTTCAAGGAGACTCATCTTCAGCTCTTCTGTAATCTATGTCACATGGACAGTGAGCTAACTGTCACAAGAGCAAAGCTCTTCTAAAAATCTAGTTGAAATTTATGCCTAGCCACTTTGTTTTCACTTAAAAAAGGGTGATGGTCAAATTCTCATAAAACCTTCACAAAGAATATCAATCCCTTTACCTAGCACTTCTCACCATGAGCACACACATTACACACACTAGAAGAAAGCAAAACATAAAACAGGAATACAAACAAATAACCTCATAATGATTAAAAGATATTCTAGTTATTTTGTCTAGAGAGCCTCAACCAACAAGAAAGAAAACCACTGCCACCCGAGATGCTTGAAAATTCCATTTTCCTACAAACCTGGTACAAAAGCCATAGCCAACTTCTTGCATGAAATCTGCCAGGGAACTCTCCATCATGGTTTTGGCTATCCCTCCAGAATCAGGCAGGATCCTGTCCATTAGAATGTCCCGTTTTTCAGGGTATAGAAGTGGTGCAAGCACCACAGGGCAACGCTCCTGGGGAAAATCTAAAGGCAAGAGTAACACAGAAAAAAAAAGTGTCAAGACCCCTCAGAACACCAGTTGCATGCATGAGTAACTCAAAATTATTCCATTGCTGTGCTAGACTTGGCTTGCTGCTGCAGAAATCAAGAAGGCATTCATGCAGCATCCCTCCACCCCACTCTGTTCTCTACTGGCACTTGGATATTTGTGGGGAACAAGAACGTAGACTAGACCAAGTTCTTACAGGTTCACTGCAGCTGCCCAAAGGGACCAGCAGCTGTGCTGGTGCAAGTTTAGAACTAGATTGTCACTAACAGCAGTCATCCAAAAGAAGCTCAGAGCAGGAAATAATTCAGCAGTCCAGCAAAAGCCTCTCCTCCACCTCAGGAAGTATTAGGAAACAAAGGATCTGCTACTGAGTCTAAAAAGTATAGCAAATCTAAGACACGCACTTGGGCACAAAAAGAGAAAATACTTCCTTTTTACTTCCTGGGAGGCAAATTTTAAGAGAGAGGAGTAATGAGAGGATCAGATGTGTGGATGGGAGTTCTGCTCACAGTGGGAAGCACCAAAGACACCTTGTGGGTGGCCTTCCTGAGACAGTACTATCTTTGATATGACACAGAACGTCTACATACCCCTCAGGCCATTCAGAGAAGAGCTCCCAATTTCCCAGAGCGAAGTGTCAGGAATTACACAAGCTCGTACACTAATCTTCTTTAATAAGTATGAACTAAGAAGTGATATTTAAACAAACAGAACAAATATTTTGCTCTTGCATAAAGGGTGCCTTCCTCTAGGTCTGGGGAGAGCCAAGGAGTGGGTTAAGTTAAACTCAATTAGCTTCCAGAGTCCAAATCCTCCTTATTTTGATAGGTTTACAGCAAACCTATTGGGAATGAAGAGACTACCACAATGTCCCATGCAAGGGTCATGGTAGCTTCCAGGAAATGAACTCAGAAGCATCTCCCTCACCATGCTAATGTTTCCTCATAGATCTGCATCCAGTATAAACAACACAGTGCCTGTTTGAAATGGCAGTGCATGTGCCTTACACTGAGCTGCTTCAGTTTATCACAACTTTTTAAAACATGAGACTACATCACTGCTCATTGAAAGCAAAACAGTACATTATGGCCCAATGCCAGAAGAGTGGTATTTTTCTGGCAGCTTAGAGCTATGAAAATTTCCTGAGTTCTACCTCACCAGGCTTCCTACCATTTCATCACACTGCCCTGACAGCAAGTCAGGAAAATCCATTCCAAAGTTTGCACCCAGCCAGGCCCTCCCGAACAGCACCACTTACCTCTACGTAATGTTTTGAGGAAAGCGTCGATCTGTTCCTGTCCTACCCCAAAGGCTCCCTTCTGCCCAAAGAGGAGATGGGAGAGCAGAAGGTGCAGGACCTCTATTGCAATATCTTGGAAGCCACCTTCTTGGTTTCCACTGACGTCCGCGTCAATGTAAGAGCGCAAGAGATCCGGGAGTTTCTGTTTGATGAACTGGGCAGCTTTGGGAGACAAAAGAAGTTCAAGTCAAAACCTCACATTCCTTTTTAATATGAAGATTCTTTTCAGCTAGGTACCATTCTCTTAATTTGAGTTTGTTTTCCACAAGGCACAACAGCTTGTTTTAAATAAAGTCTCACAATCCACACCCCACAACTCAAATATTAATGGACAACTAAAAGTTAAGATATCACAGTATTTCAATTTGACTCATGATCTAGCAAGTCATTCATGACAGGGACCTACAACTTCAGACAGGACAACTGTGCTATCTTATTGCCCCTCACGATGACACCAATTGCAAAATCAGGCACACTTCTACCTATCCAGAAAGGTCACTGCTGCAGGACGTGAGAAGCTTCACTTACCAAAACCTCTTAGATCTGAGCTGAATGAGTTCAGTAAAGCGAGACCAAAAATCACCTACAAACAAGAACAAACACCACAGTAAGGTGACATCAGCCTTTCTACCAGCTTAGTCAAATAACCATTAAAATACTTCAGAAGTAAGTGTTCACTTACCTCTTGAACTTTACTTAATTTGATGACTTTACTCAATTGGGCAAATAAATGGGGTGAAGGCTTTAGACTCTGAAACAGGTAAGAAGAGTTAAACAGAAGTTGTTAGGGAGTTAGTCTCATTTGCAATATGTCAGGATATCTAGAGTCCATTTGCAAGTCCAGAATATTAGTGACTATTCTGCTGGTGGTTAATACAAGCCTTGCATGGCTAAACACATTTGCAACTATTTTTGGATACATCTAAACTAAAAGCTTCTTCCATGTATCTCACTCTTTCACTATTAAACCACTACTGTGGCTCTCTCACTGAAAGAAGTAGGAACACTGATGATTTATTTTGGTACTGGTGCCACAAACAAGCCATAAAATGCTGACATTAAAGATTTCAAATTAGTTTGCAACCATTCTGAGTGACTGACTAATTTGCTCAGTTTAACAAAAAACCCAAACCAAAATAAACAACTTTTGGGCAAGCTCAATTTTTTAAGACTTTAGTACAACCTATTTTAGGCATAAATAACAAGAGAAAATCAGTTGGTTTTCTACAGACCAATTCAGTGCAGCTTCTGACACTAGGATCCCCTTCAAGAAACACACAAACCTTCTGATAGTGCAAGGGATTGTCAATGGCGTAGGACAGCGTCGAGATAAAGTTTGGTTTTGTAATCAGCGACGCACACTCCTGGATCAGAAATTGAGTCTGGAAAGAACAAGATAACTTGAACACTCACAATTTTGTAACAGGACAATAAAACCAATCTACTGCCTACTGTGTGGCATAAAACTAAACAAAGATAGGGCTATTAACACTTTGCAAGTGACCAAACTCTAACATTAACTAGTTTTGTTTCATTCAAGTTTTCTTCAGGCTCAGTTTTCCTTTTAAGACTGAGAAAGTGATCAAACATTCTTTAACATTCAATTTCCATAAGCATCCTCACACACTGCAATAGACAAGTATCTGATTCATGTTTATGAGCTAAAAAGTCTATGGCAAAATTGCTTAAGGACGAAAAATCTGACAACAGACACACGCAGCTCCAGAAAGGTCAGCTGGTGGATTTGGACAAAGTTTTGAAAGACACAGGAAAGCTTTCAAACTAGAGCACTACATGTGATAGCAATTGTATGGACACTATCTGTCTGGTGGATTTGGACAAAGTTTTGAAAGACACAGAAAAGCTTTCAAACTAGAGCGCTACATGTGATAGAAAGAGCAATTGTATGGACACTATCTGGTTTTTTCCAGATAAAGAGATTGTAAGAGTCAGATAAACCATTTCTTATCTTCTGCCTTGAGGACTGGCAATAGGTGTTCGCAGTTGAAAGGCCATATGCCTTGTTTGAAGCTACTGCTTCTACCCTGCCCTTCTGCTCATCATGAATCAAATCCTAGTGCAGATTTTTAACAACCCAACCTAATAAGCAGATAGATGCCTCAGTGCAAACTGTACCTGATGAAAATCTTTGCCACTGCTTTTACCATCGCCACTGAAATCCACGTGCGAGAATAGACAGCGTAGTAGATGCCTGTCTGCCTCGGGACCGTGCCTGTTCACAATCTGCAAAGAAGCATCAACAAACACCTTGGTAGCAAACAGTCATTACAGAGCAAGATCTGGCTCTAGTACCATGGATACAGTGATCCTTCTAGTGGTTGAGTCATCTAGGACTGTAACAAAACTGCCAAGAATGTTCCTTTTCAACCAGTAACCCAGAAACCAAGTCATTAACCCTATTTGTAAATGAAAAGCACAAACCAAGATAAAGAAAGAATCTAAGCACAAGTCACTGACACAGAAGCCGAGCATTTCAGGGGTAGTATTCTTACAAAGCTCAATACAAAGGGTTTTCAAGGCACTCTGAAGATGTTTTCAAACTTCTCTACCACCAAAGCAGCCCAGAATCCACACAGTGCCATGGCCTCATTTCTCCCCACTTTTTCCCACAGCTGCAGGGCCTAACTCTGGAAGAGTTCAGCCTTGGGATAGTTTGCACCTCTGTGCTATGCCTTCGTAGAAGGAATTTATCCAAAGGACAAGCCACCATACAGCATCTTGCCTGCCATCACCCCAGGGTCTTTTAACAAGTAAAACAATATTATACAGAAGTTTTTTTCTGCCACCTAAAGAAAACAGTTAATCTCAAACTTGGTAATGAGCAAGCCTTAAAAATCAAAGACCACATGCTGAACACCTGCAGCTGAGACCTCTAATCAAGTCCTTCCCCATCATTAGAGCACACTCAACTGAATCCCACAGCTGTCATAAATAAGTGATCTGCATTTGTTAATTTGCAACACCTATCACTCATTACTAAACCCTAACATCACATTTTGGTAGCATCCCCTACCACTTGCCTTAAGTTTAACTCTCAGCTACAGACCAGCTCAGCAGCTTGTTGTCTGAAGTAGCTCCAGATTGTTTCAGTGCTTACTCATTAGTAACCTCACCTAAGTGGACAGCATCACTTGTCACTAATCAAATCCACACTGGCAGAAATTTGACAACACTTAAGCAACAGTAGCTTCCTTCCCTCTTTTGTCCAAACAGTAGCATCTCCGATAAATCCAACCTGCATCTACTGACATTTTTCCTATCATTTCCTCCTTTCTAGCTGCAGGAGAGACACAGAATGTGCCAGCACAAACCTGCAGCTTTGCCCCTGCTCTGCCTGCCTCCATCAAACCCACTGCTTCACCCCTCATCAATGTCCTTGCTTGCTGGTAGTTTTCCTGTGCAGAGACAAACAGAGTTGCTTTAGGCTCTGTCTGTTCGGGCTCTGCTGTTTCTGTTTTCATCTCAGTTTTTCTACTGTTATCTGACACTATGCTTCCCTTTCCCTCACAGCCTGATTATTCCAGTGGCTGCCAAGTTTTGTTCTGCTGAAAAAACACACCCCAGTCAGATATAGCTCTGCTCCTTGACCAGAGGCTACAATATACATTGTTTGTCATGCATCAGTCCAGAATAAACAACCTGCTCCAGCTATGGTGGCAGCTCTGTCTACAAGGGCACCCATTCCTCAGGATTAGTCAGGAAGATGCTCAGACTGGTGCAAAAGGCTGCAAAACTGAATTGACAGCAAGTTCTAATCAGCTCAGGCTTCAGAAAATAGGCAATTTGTTTAGGCAGTCCTGATTAAATATGCAGATCTGGATGTGGTAATAAGACTGGCATGAAGCTGGATCCATCTCCCAGGGAGCTACCTGGTGCTATGACCAAGGACAATTCATCAAAGCAGATGGATGCAGAAGAAAACTACCTATGAAAGCCATCAACACAAGCTTTCTGCATCAGAATTACATTGCTTCCTTGCACACAAGTATCTTCACAAGGATAATAATGTGAAAATTCTGCATCAGAATTACATTGCTTCCTTGGTGTCTTCACAAGGATAATAATGTGAAAAATTAACATATGGGGAGGAGGGGAAGTGAAGGCTAAAAGTGCAGTGCAGCATCTTTCAACTATAACTACATTCCCATAAAAGCTTTTCCAAGGAATGGGAATTGCTAGTTTTCCTGTAGAAAGAGCTGAAATAAACCTTTGTATTGGCAGCCTTGAAACACATTTACAAGACTGTGTATCCAGTAATAAAATAATCTGTAAAGACTATTTTTTATCACTATGATGACCAAGCACTAGCACAGGTTGCACAGAGAGGTTATGGAGTCTCCATCCATGTTAGTACTCAAAAGTTGTCCAGACACATTCCTAGGCAAACCCACTCCAGGTACTGTTTAAGCAGGAGGCTGGAGCAGATGACCTCCACAGGTCCCTTCCAACCTCAACCAGTCTGCGATTCAGGATAAAGTTTGAGCCACCTGTATTTGGATTTATCACACAGGGACTGGTCAGGTTTTGCTTAGGCGAATAGGTGATTAGGTCAAAAGTAAGTTTTTCTAGATTCAGGAAGTTTTGTTTTCCTACATGAACCCAACCATGAAGCCCTTCCCTCCTCTCCACCCAGGCTCTCCTTACCACTACTTCAGGAAAAGGAGACCACAAAAACTCACTTCAGAGGAAGCCATTGCTTAGAATTCATGTCTGACAAATGCATAAAAGGGTTTTTTTCAACATATATTCTAATTTTTTAAGCAGACTTAAAGCATCACCTGTGTGAAATGACTACTGACAGCACAGTCATACAGAAACTAGTTCCTCAAGCTTTGCCACTGTTATTCTTGAGTGATGTATTTAAATGCAAGTGTCATTTCGGTCAGCTGTGACAAGAACAACTCCCAAGCATGGATTTCCACATCTCTGCATGCTTGGATGGAAGCTTTGTAAAACTTGTGAGTGAATCATGCAAAAAATTTACACCAAGGAGTGTGCAGTGAGACAGAGTTAAGGCATTCATATATCCCTTCAACTCGCTAAGGAAAAACTATTCTAGCAGCCATAAAAGTAAATCAGTAACAGGAAGCTGAAAAATAAAAAGGACAAAGGATCAAGAAGATTTTAGGAATTTAGTCTTGAAATCCTAGATCTGTCTTATAACCAAACACAACACAAAGCAGCCATTTCCACAGACCAGGTCCCAGTCTCTCACCACAGTGAGTCTAGGAGGCCTGGCAAGAATGATGAGAAACAATCTGTCCCTGTTTCAGAGCTATACTCCAAGTGAATGGGATATCAACCAGATCTTGTCCCAAATCAAAGAAACGTTTCTTACCCTTTCCTAAGTGTTCACATGACAGATCTGCAAGTCATGCTTTAGTCACCTTGCTGCAAAAATCATCTGTGGAAACCTACAGTCATCGACAGTGTGATCTCAGAGGAGCCCCTGGAGCACTGAACTTGCAAAAACAGGGGAAAGTTACAAAAGTTACAAGAGATCAATTCCATCTCCATGGATTAGGTTTAAAGCAGTCAATACTGCTGAAATCACCCTCCTCTCGCCTCAAGATAAGCAATGAATGCACTTCTAAAGACATCAACTGTTACCAGAACTCACTCTGCCTGAGCCCTCTGGCCTCCTAATCTGATTCAAAAGGCTGCAAGATTGCACTGCTGCAGGGGAAAAAAAAAAAAAAAAAAAAAAAGAAAACATTTAACTGGTCCAGTTGTCTGCTGGGAACTGAACTAAACCAGTTTCTAAAACTGGCTCAGTAACATTCACTTCCTCCTAAGCACTCCTCTGTGGATAAAGCTTTTCAGTCCATCCTGCTAGTCAGAACTATTTTTAAAAAGGTCAGTTAAAGCAGAATTCTTGCTCAGATCATAGAAATTTGGGTCTCAATGTGCAGTTACACTGCTTGCCTTCTGAAAACCCAGGGCCAAGACAGTCAGCTTGGCTTCACCTCCAAACCACGCTTCATTGACTGAAAAGAGGAACAAAAAACTTCCAACTGAGGTAAGTGAAAGCTATCCCATACTCATGTTTTCAGTGCAACAACTCTGAATGGTAAATGGATGTGTTTTCCTGCCTCTTCCAAACAGCATTCTATGTAATGTCCAAAAGTTGTGAGATTTAACCTGGAGGATATAGGAAATCTTTGCATACCGCCCTCCATGAGCAGCAGTTAATCCCAATATTCCACTGCAAAGCTAACACTGGCCTGGGCTCTGAGCTGCTGTATTCCATGACCCAACAGGAGTATCAGACACATGTGCTGCAATTCCCAGCACCACAGAACACAGCACACGAGAGCACTGCAGAGCACAATTCAACGAGATGAGAAACTCCGTTCAACATTCCAGTTCTCTTTCCAAAATTTCTTTTGCAGCAGCATATCACTGTACTCACATGCTGTATTTCCTGCTGGCTGGCTCGGTAGTTTTTCTTGGTTAAATTGTCCACCAGGTAGCTGATTTGAGACAAGGCCAGCGAGAGCGAGTCAAGATTCATTGCTGGTTGGGGCGGAAGCAGGCGGCCGAGCCCGGCGCAAAATCACCATTATTCCCCTTTAGTCACCTCAGAGACAGGTCAATTTTTTTTCCCCCAATTAGCCTGTATCTGTTTCTGTGTTACTTTCTTCAACTCTTCTTTCTCAGTTGTCTTCCTCTGTTCTGAAACATGGCACCTGAAAAAAAAACCAAACAGGATTACATTAGATCTAAGTTCTTTATCAACTTCACATAACTATGTCCACAAGGAAAAAGTACTATCCAGTTTTCACAACACAAGCTTAGCTGTTTTCACACTACCTGACCACATCTGTTTCTGCATTTAGCCAGCCTGAAAGAGCCAGCAAACAGCTCAGTCAGAAGAATGACTACACTTTCAGCACTGTGAGAAAGAAAATGAATAATGAATTAGACACCACACAGCAACAATCAGAGGTCAGAACCATTCAAAGTATTGATCACAAGTTTGAATAAAAAAATGTGCTTTTACCATCTCTGCAATATTTTGCCTCTGTGCCATCCAAGCAGTATTGCCTCAACCCTGCACACCAAAACAAGCAATTGTGAATGAGCAACACACAAAGAACTGCAATAAACTAACCCTAACATTTGGCTTATACTGAAACAGCTTTCAGGGAGCTACAACAGCAAAGCTTGCCAGCTTAATAAATTTCTATGACAACACAAAACTTGGCACTTGACATCTCATCTGTTAAATTACAGATTGCCAATGTGACAAAATTGCATCCCAAACGAAGTTCTTCATATCCAGCAGTCTGAGGAGTCTCAAAGGAAGCCCTAAGCCGCTCTGAGAAGCAGCACAGTACGTTATCAAAGGGAGGATCAAGCTGGAGAGTCACTGTTTGGAAGCTCTACTTGATCAAAACACAAAGGTCACTGGGCTTCATGCCAAGAGCCTGAAGATCTTTTTGCAGAATAAAAACTACTGCCTTGCTGCCTTGGCTCTATGGCCAAAACCACCAGTACACGATTCCTGCCTCATTACCGGGATGGATTGCTCGGGTGATGTGTTCCCTTGGCACACACAACGCCGAGGGCAAACCAGTGCAGGAAGCGACTCCTGCAGGAGACAGCTCGACATGTCGGCCCCTCCTGCGAGAGCCAACAGGAACACCACACAGGAAGCTGAAAAGGCTGAGAATGAGAACCATCTCCCTTCACACACAGGTTTTCACTCACTCACTCTTGAAACTACACCTTATTTAACATCTGCCTGCACTACAAAGCATCAGGAGCAACAGATCCTACCAGAGGCAATGAAGACCATTCAGCTCTTAGGAATAAGTTCATTCTATTAAACACATGGGTAAACCATCTGTAAGCCGAGTCCAATCAACCAACATGCAGATGTTTGTTATGCCACAGAAAGCTCTGGGTACTCCCAGGAGCTATGCAAGATCCTTCTTACGCAATAAAACCTGTATCTCATGAAGAACAAATTTTCAAGCAGAAATACTGAAAGAATTCCTCAGTGACAAGGCAGTTGGGCTCTGAAAAAATTTCAGAGCATGTCTAAAACTGCAGTGAGAATTACAAAACTTCCATTTCTCTTCAATGCATCTGACAAGCTGAAAGTCATTACCTTTACATAGAGGTTTCAAAGGCTACTGACTGTGAAGCAGCTCTGTAGAACACAGGACTGGCACAAAAGTTTAAACAGATTTATCAGTAGTACAGTACCTGACTTTTTCTTTTAAATAACCTTTAAATTCTTCCTTTGGGATAATGCAGAAAGTGTCCCTGGCCTTGGCAAGCACAGGCTTTCCAAGACAATCTTACTGGCAAGGTTTAACACACATGACCAATAAAAACCTTCTGAAAAACACTGGTTAAAAATCAAGCAGACCAACCACCACACACAGCACTTGCACCTACCAAAGCAGTTAGTGAAGGGAATTCAGTCCCATCAGAGCACCAGATTTCAGTAACCAGCCTGGAGAACTCATGAGCTGTTTGGCTCAAGAACAGGACCCAAACTAAAACCTGATCATTTTTTAAGGTAGTAACAGAATCTCAGAGTTTGCCTTCTGGCCCCTAGGAATTAAAAAACAGGTTTCTCTGGGTATTGTTCCTCCGATCAATACAAACAACACAGCAATCACTCAACCCTAAAATCAAACTTTTTGGTACTGGAATTCTGGAGTTGAGTTCAGTCTTAAACCTGATCATCCCTGCTGCCACATAACACCCTGCAGAGCACAGACACTGACCATCCCACCCTCCTGTCAGCATTGCTGCAGTCTCCCAAAAAAAGCAGGGATGGCCATCTCAGCATGCTTTTATTGCATGGAAGCACAACAAGCTTTGCCACTTTCCAACTGCAAAACCTGGCAGTGCCACTGGAGAAGCCAAGCTGGAGTCAAAATGGGATTTTCCCTTTCAAGGAGGCAGAATCAGAGCCTGAACAGATAAAAACTCGAGACAGAACACAAAAGCTGAGCGAACAGTTTCCTACTTATGTTCTACACACACGGTTTGCACAGTGTGTGTCCCCACACATAGCAAACCCTGACAGCTCCCATGAGCACCAGATTAACTGCATTCCACAGGTTCAAATGGTGCAACCTAACTTAGGAGAGTACACAACCAGAGTAACAAATGGAGCTCTGCCTGAACACAGAACTGCAGAGGTACCTCTGGCCATTCAGTGCAAGGCTAAAACTCAATTACTACAGCACTGATTAAGAAAGCTATGAATGCTATGTGAAGCTGACTTTATTTTTAGATGCATATATCCTTAGTGGGAATGAATCTCCCCACACTGGCCTCAACAATTCCAGCAGCTTTCAGAGCAGGGGACAAACCTGCCAGGTTCAGACAAGTCAGGCCTCAGCCACAGAGTTTCTCAAAAAAATGTAGATTCACTGTCAAAATTAGCTACTTTCAAATACAGATCCTGTGATCCAGTAATGAACTAAGATAACAGACACAGGACTCGGGAGCTCTTAGAATATTAGCATTTTATATTGTGCAACACAGCCCATTTTTAAGAAGTAGAAAATATTTACCAAAATCCACAGCATTAAACACTTCCTAAGGTAAACAACAGGCCATCAGCAAAACATTTGATCTATTTCAGAAGGTTCTTTTCAACAGCAGAGTTCTGTTGGGTCACTAAAACATTTTTTTTGGGCAAGAAGCCAAAAATCACAAAACAGAGAAGGTCAATATGAAATAAACCAGCAGGTGTGACAGACACTCTCCACTAACCAGCAGTGAGTAACTAAGCTTTGACGCTGAAGATGCCAAACCTGAAGTCTTCCACCAATTTAGAAACATTCTTACAATGAAAGTGATTTCAAAGTTACTTTAAGTACTGAACTTGGGATTTCTTTAGTATTTTGCAAAGTAACTACTCCCACTGGGTTTCAGGAGCTGTAAAGATTTGAGGCCACACAGGCTGCGTGTGGAGGATAAAACAGCTCAAGTGACACAAACAGCAACATGTTCACTGACTGAGTTCTAAACTCGGGTCAAAAAACATCACATGAAACATGCTAAAAGGATCACTGACAAACCTACTCTACAGAAGAGCCTCTAACCCACTCCTCAAACCCTTGCACACACAACACATGGAAGAGCAGCACACCTCTCCCAAGCCCCACATGGGAAGCACTCCAAGGGGGAAAGAATCCTTGACTCATACCACAGTAAACTGAAACTTCAGGAAGTCTTTTGAAACTTACACAGAGAAAAATCTTACAGTGTAAGTCACATTATCAGTAAAATAAGCTCCTGATTAACTCAACCAGGACAAACTTAGGTGCTTACATGTGGAAAATCCACCTGAACTTTCCATGGACTGGAAAGCTGCACATGATTCAAGTCAACTGGAAGTCACAATGATGATTAGACACAACAACTTTAGTTTAAAAAGAGGCTGAACTAAGCACCTATGTTGTCGCCAGACACTAAGGGCAGATAAGTTTCAGGTTTGGAACCCACCTCAAACACATCAGTCACGGCATGACTGCTTCAGGCACCACCACATCTCAACCTGGACTGTTCAAAACCATCCCAAGAAATTCTCACTTCCCACTTCTCCCTCAGACAAACAGTGCAGGATAAAGTTTCTGTTGGGGGGCAGGGAAGACCTGTTCTCAAAAGCTTTGTGCTGTTCTACCATTCAAGAAGTGTCTGAAGACAGGTAAATGCTGTTTCAAAACCCAAAGGAGAATTGCAGTGTTCACACAGATCAAAAGAGAAATCTGGGTAAAATAGTTATGTCCTCAACCAGATCTTCAGTGATAAGAAGACCTAACATGATTTAGTGGTGTCCCATCATGGGATCACAAAACATCCCTGTCCTCTATTCCCAAGTTATGTTTGCACAGTTTCTCTTCCACTTACTCAACAGGACACCAACAGTAGCCACTTCAGCCTCGACTACAGGAATCAAACACCTAGGAGCACTATGCAGGATAAACAGGGTTGGGTACTGCTCCAAAGGGAAGAGACAGGCAGGCAGCAAACTGGCTGTGAGTTTGGAGACACCAAGCCAACAGAACCAACAGACAACACTGAATTCAAAAGCACAAGGGCAGAGAAAATCCAGACAACAACAAGCCTAGAAAGGACAAACAAGGCTATTACCCACTAAGTTTGTTTCCTGTTTATAAGACACTCACCCTGCCTGTAATTGCAGCCAATGCCAAGGGAGTTACCTTAGAAACAGGAAACACTTCAGCTGTGTGCACTGAGGATGACTAGTCAGGGTCACACCTGTTTTGTTACCTGCCTGAACTAAAGCTCTGAGCACAGCTGCCCTGCAACAAGTGAGAGTCAGGAGCACAGTCCAACCTCAGGATGTAGCAACACACTATGTGTCGTGTTCTCAGCATTAGCTCATTCTGCCGCAAAAGCAGCCCAAACTGCTTGTGCTTTGCCGAAATTAAACTACAACTACTCCCTATCCTCTGGCACAAGGAGCAAATGTTCCTAACCCGAGCCAGAGAACTATCGCAGAGGAGCTTGCTGCACCAACATCTGTCAAACACCAACTGTTGCTGCTCCTAGTTGCGAATTCACCCAGCCCGTCTCTCTGGGCAGCGCGTTCCCGGCCGGAGCACGGAGCGGGATTCCTGCCATGTGTTCCGCAGGGAGGTTATGTCAGAGGATTATTTACTACCTCTCACCGCTCACAGCTCCGCGCAGGCAAGGC